GCAGACTGTACTGTAGAGCTGAGGTGTTTCATTCAGTACTGTTACCCATGTTGAGTTTGGTCCAGTAGCTGACAAACTGTACTGTATAGCTGAGGTGTTTCATTCAGTACTGTTACCCATGTTGAGTTTGGTCCAGTAGCTGACAAACTGTACTGTATAGCTGAGAAGTTTCATTCAGTACTGTTACCCATGTTGAGTTTGGTCCAGTAGCTGACAAACTGTACTGTATAGCTGAGGTGTTTCATTCAGTACTGTTACCCATGTTGAGTTTGTTCCAGTAGCTGACAAACTGTACTGTATAGCTGAGATGTTTCATTCAGTACTGTTACCCATTTAGAATGAATTCAAATTATAACATGAAATTATCGTTGTTTATTCTAAATAGTTTTAAATTTGTAACAATATACACCTGTTTATTTGCAAGTTTTATTATTTTACTGCTCTTTGAAGCACGTATCACTAATATTCCCCAACATAAAATCTGTAAATCACTTGGCTAGCACGTAGCTCGTGTTACCCTATTGAGTTACATAAGCAAAGGCTACTTGTGAGTTGCTTAAGAGCGTACCTCATGAACATTTTTATAATTATTATTTTTATTTTACCTAATCTTACCAAAAAAAGTTTATAAATGTTACATTTTAATTGCCTTTACAATAAGAAATACACATGAAAAACAAGAACTATACTACTTACCTAGGTATTCTTTTTTTTTACTGTCAACTATCGATGAAACATAACCCTACTTTTTTGTACTATGTTTTTGCACTTACATAGTAAGTTAACCCTTGTGAACCAGAGTGTAGTTTGCATAAACAGTGCTAGATTCAGTCTAGATATTTATGTACTTTGTAAATGAACTATTATTGAAGCAAAAAAAACAAAATGTAAAAGATTTGTTATCACTTGTGAGTCATGTGACTGAATTTTAAGTATTTAATTAAAGGTTTCTATAGAAATAAAGGAATCCAAACTTATATAATATAAACATTGAATTATAATGTATATGATAATGCTAATTTTATTAAAATACACAGATCATAAAGTTGTTTAATTAAATTTTGAGTGTAACTCAGTAAAACCTTGCGACTTGTGCAGAAAGGAGTGTAAAGAGTGCGGTCAATATGAAAGGGTTAAACTAGCTAAGTCCTGCTGGGGATATACCAACTAAACCTACCACTGGTAAATACACCAGAATAAGTTGCTTAAGACTCTGTGACATTAGAGGTGGATATTTCTTGTTTGTAATTCAGGTTTCATCAGAATGTTATTTGAACAAACAGAGAAACAAAAGAAAATATAATTCTATTTTTACATGGATTTTTCTGTTTATCATCATTAGATATGGAAGTAACGTGAATTATGTTAGATGTAATGTAAGAACTTTAGCTAATCTTGTAAATATACAATTGTGATACAAAACCTTTTAACTTTATTAACCCTATCCTCCGGATATCTTTTACTGCACATGACACAAGGTTTTAGTGTCTTACATTCAAAATTTTATTAAACTACTTTTTGTTTATGTTACACCAATTAGAATAGATAAAATCTTAGCTAATAATCTATATTTTAATAGTATACAAGTTTCAAGCTTATAATTCTACAAGGCAATATTTAAAAGAATCCTTAATTTCCACTAGTGTGACCCACGTGACACATTTTCTCTTAGCATGTCATCATCCCTATTTTATCCACAACCCCTCAAAAAAGTATGAAATTAAACTTAAAATATTCTCTCTAAAATCTTTATTGCTCAAAGAAACCATAATGTTTATAGCCTTCAATTTTGTTTGGTTACAGAGCTATCGATTAGAAAATCACACTCCTCCTGCCACACCCTCTTTCACAATTCGTTGATAGTTCTCTCTTACGTTTCATTATATATTACCTATAACCAATAGAAAGTCAAGGTTTTCATCTATCAAATGACGTAGTGTATAATGTTGTGTTCTGAATAAAATATTGTTAATTTCACTCACAGTACAAGATTCTTTCCTGTGGGAAAATTAATGACTAGGATGAATTTGTAACTGTTCTTGTCGCACAGTTAGAAAGCCAGAAACATTTTAAGAGTTAGAGGAATTTATCTAATTTTTACATGTTATTAGTCTATATTTTATGGTGCATTATTTAATTAAATAAAAATTACTAAATGCATTAGTATCATTACTATAGAAAATCAGGCTTAACTGTCCTAGACAATCGAAGGCAAGAAAAAAAGAAGATTGGACAAGTACTTTATTTCTTGTTTTTCATATTTATTCTGTATTTATTATTTTAACTAACTAAAATCTAAAAATACTGATCTTTTTACATTATTTAAGAGTATATTTAAGACTCATAGTATAACTGAAAGACTACCAAATTTGGTAAAGATATACACATTATATTGAAAGTTACAAGTATTAAATCTATAAAGACTTTAATTGAGTACAAAGAGGTCACGTGGTTGGTCAAATTGACCGAGCCTGTGTTGATAAAGTTAAATCAGATCTTCTTTCATCCAGGCAATACTCTAATGACCACATCTACTTTCCAGGTTTTTATCAAATTATAACCCAACTACTTTAAAATAATGGTGTTCTCAAAGAAGCATATAATACGTATAATGTATATACATACGTGTGTGTGTTCTGAAATTACTGATTCAATGTTCTTGGGAATAACAGAAATTTCATGATCTCTGTTTACAGAACAGCATAAACATAAGCAAGTTTATAGTGACCTTAAATTACAGAGAGCTATGTACTTACGAAACAAAGTTTTTCTCCATTAAATCTCCCTGGTGCAGAACAACTGTACTGAGAAGCCTAAGCGTTGAACTAGCTGACTGTTGAGCTGTTTTTAGTCCCACAAGCCAACGAACCATCATTTTCATTCCTTCAATCTTTTTATCATGCAAAAACAGAATAAATAATCTAAATCTTACAGTTTTTTTTCTTTAGTTAGCAATGCCACATATACTAACTAAAACAACAAGCCAAACCAAACTTGCTGAAAACACTTACCAGTATTGAAACATAGCACTTAAATTTAAGCACACAATAAACATGGTAGTAAGCACTGCAAAAATATATAAACTTTATTTGATGATAAGATTTAGATATTTATAAGTTATGACAACTCAAAAAAAAAAGAGATGGGAGAAAAAATTATAATAATTTTTTGTAACCAATGAAATGCCAAAAAACACAAAAACCACAGATCTGTGTACAGGGTGTTTGTACAAAGTACAAGGATCATTTTTTAATTATTACTGATAAACTATGCATTTTAAAAAGCAAACAAATCATGTACAACTTTATTAAATGTGCACTACAGTATCAAAGTAACATCAAAATGCCCATGACAACATAATGACAAAACTGGACAAATCATGAGGATGGGCAAGGGAGGTAAAACCTTCCAAAAATTCTACATTTTCAACAAGCCAGAAGAAAAATGTATGGCTTGGAATGAAAAATCAAAAGATACACTGTTATTTCTGCCTCAGCCCAAAGAGAAACATTTTGTTACATCCCTGTCAATTTCTTTTATTCTAACCTCAATTATTTCTGCCTTAACTTTTTATCAATTTGTCATCTCTGATGCATGCCTGCCTACATCCACATAACCATCCCCAGCATCCACTATACTTGTATAAATGTTAGTGGTTGGATAGCACCACATAAGCAAATAAATTTTATATTGCTGATAGTTGTCTTTCTTAACCTAAAATCGTATGTTGCTGTCATGATATTATGATATGTGGCAACTCATAAATATGGTACATCATGAATATGGAAAGTCAAAGAACAACACAACCTCAATTTTTGTCCTAACTTTCACATGAGTCATAAACACCACCACCACTGAGGATGATTAAAAAGTCATAATTTCACTATTCAGCAGAAACTTATCATGTCTGTGGACAACTAACTCAAGATTTTTTCAACAACTGAGTGGAGAAAACACAAACAATGACAACTGTTTGTCTACAGATATTTCTTATAAGGTGTTTAAGAAAAATGGTCAGTGCAAAATTGAGTTCAAAATTAAACTAATTTTTAACAACTCTTTTTCATTAATTAAAACAATTTACTTTAAAATCAGTATGTATTTATAAATAGCATTAATTTACTTAAAGACACATATTTCTTATAAAACTATATATTTATGTAATGCAAGCATTATATCTATTGAGAATACAGCTGAGAAGCATGGATAATACCTTTGTTTATTTACTTTGAAGAAACAGCTATTATTGTTATATGTTATATTATTGTTATATACTTGCAGAAAGTACCCACCTTGACTTTCGTCTCCTCTGGAAGGTCATCAAACGGTCCCCACATGGCTTCTGTTACCCGAGGAATGTCCTGATGGAAATAAAGATACCATATAGTATTTAGCAAACCATATAAAAAACACATACTAAACAATTCAAGTCTTTCTGAGGTAAATAATGAAAAAATGAGAACCAAAAAAGTCAAAGCTTAATGTAACTGTTCCTTGTGTGTGTCTGTCTATCTATATATTGATTTAAGAGAAGTACTAATCGAACATTAAAAACCCAAGTTCATGGTAAGAGAGTGTAAAACTGTAAGTCAGATATACTCTACTTTGATAAACAAACATTGCATTTTAAGTGCTGAAAGATACATTTTAGACAAGAAATATTTTAAAACTCTTCAGCTATACATTACAGCTTGTCAGCTACTGGACCAAACTCGATGTGGGTAACAGTACTGAATGAAACACCTCAGCTATATAGTACGGTTTGCCTGCCACTGGACCAAACTCAACATGAATAACAGTGCTGAATGAAACACCTCAGCTATACAGTACAGCTTGCCAGCTACTGGACCAAATTCAACATGGGTAACAGTACTGTATGAAACACCTCAGCTATACAGTACATCTTGTCAACTACTGGACCAAATTAAGGATGGGTAACAGTGCTGAATGAAACACCTCAGCTATACAGTACAGTTTATTTAAATAAATAAAAATTATTAAATGCATTAGTATCATTACTATAAAAAATCAGGCTTAACTGTCCTAGACAATCGAAGGCAAGAAAAAAAGAAGATTGGTCAAGTACTTTATTTCTTGTTTTTCATATTTATTCTGTATTTATTATTGTAAAAATAACTAAAATCTAAAAATACTGATCATCACTGTAACTATTCTTCCATAATACTGTATAAGAAAGCTTACTACTAGTATCAAATGTCAGAGTAAAGCAGTACACATTTTTATTTCAAAGAAAAAACTGATGAAACTATAGCAATTTTAAGAAAAATAATTGATTGTAAAAATTCAAGTGGTCCTGTTTATGGTGAAATATAAGAAGTGTTATTTACTGGTTGAAATATTATGGACTGCAGAAACAGATTTTAACAAAACATAGTAAGTATGAGATTTAGACATGAAACAACTACAAACCAGTGGTAATAGGATGTTGCTTCAAATACTCTCGACGCTTATTGATGTTGGCCAGAAGATACTGCTTAAACAGTGATTTCAATTCTCTTGTTTTCTCTAAGCCACCTAAAGCAAAGATGGCCATGAACTCTAATGGCAAGCTAAGGGAAAACAGGCCTTTATGTAGTTTCTGTGCAAATTTTTCCCTCACTTGGTAGCATTCATCCTAAAGAAAAATTTTAAAAATACTAATTGATTACATCAGTTTCTTCTTACTATTCTCAAACCTGCATTCTTTATTTAACATAGAAATACAATTTTTCATCCAGGTATATTAACATTAAAAATATGGTACTTTCAGCCTCTAATGGCATAAACAGCACAAGTATTTGAGAAAAACAACTTCTACCTACAGCTGACACTTTCTCCATCATCATCTATGCTTAAAGTGACAACTGGATCAACACACTTCAATTCCTGGACTGTAAAAAGCTTCAATGAAATACAGCACCTTATGTCAAACACGTTGATGAACTACAGCTCGAAATCAGGTCGTATTTAAGCAGACCAAAGGTAAAAAAAAAAGAGTCCATTGCAACTGTATCATCAGAATTAACAAGTATATGGACTAAATGAGGTTGCTTTAATTCCAGTTACTTTTAGTCATCTTTCTCATGAAAACAACCATTAATTTGGAGGTGTGGCAAGAACCTTCTTAACTTTTGACAAATGAATCATCCTCAATTTCAAATCCTTATTTATTATTTTGTTAACAGTGCTAGAAGATATGGCCATCTCATCATAATGGTTTGGGTTGGAGGGTATATTTGTATAACCATAACCTTCTCTTTGTAGCTTTGTTCACAACTGGCATGGAGTGTGGTTTCAGAGCTCTTAAACTCTCTAACATCTATGTGTTCTCACATCCACAAAAATCCTGAAATCTCCTTCTATAAAAATGTTTTGTCTCTAAATCATTTAATTATTTCACAAAATGAATATCCTTCCATGGTATAAGCCTTCTGCTATGCTAAACAGTTCAGAATTTGCTGTGGTGATAAATTATTCATTAAGAGTGAGGTTAAACTTCTGTTTGTTTGTTTGTAATTAAGCACAAAGCTACACAATGGGCTATCTGTGCTCTGCCCACCATGGGTATCAAAACCCGGATTCTAGCATTGTAAGTCTGTAGACATACCACTGTGCCACTGAGGGTCAGGATAAAATTCTGTACAATTCTTACAATGTCAAGAGTTGTGCATAAAAAATGTTGTTATAATCAACCATTTATGAGAAAAAAAATTAAAACTTAAAGCTTTCAGTGATTTTCCACCCAAAATAATATTTAAGTATTTTTATTATTTTGAAATAAAAAAATATAAAAAACAGGATTCAACAACAAGAATAGATTTTGCCTTATTATAAAACAATTAGATACTCTCTTTTTTATGTTTTGTAATAAACACATGTATTATATACACAAGTTTCATTGTGAAATTTAAATAATTTTATTGTTTTTGGAATAACATTGTCACATGATGTTTTTTATCTGAGAAATTTTAAAATATGTTGTGAATGATTAGTAAACTTTATGCACTTCCAATTCCATAGTATTGAGGCATTGTACTTGAACACGAAAAAATGAGACATTTACATCAGATGAAGTGCTACTAGTAAATAGACATGCTGCTCAAATTTCATGCTGAGTAACCTAGCAGGAAAATACACTTGTACTAAGAACGGGTTACATGGAAAACATAGAAACAAAACAAAAAGTTTATCATAAATTTAACAGTTACGTTGGTCATTTGACTCTCCAAAACGGGTCAGAGCTGATGCGAGAAAATTCATACAGCCAATTTTTGATGTATAGGGATTGTTCTTGCAACATTTATGGTACAAAATATACCCCCTTCGCTGGGCTGTTCTAGCCATTTTTACGAAAATAACAACAAGCATTGAAACTTGGGATTAAACTGAGCTCTTTTGTAGGAGGTTCTGTGATGCTTGGACTCGGTGTAAAACCAGTATTCATTTTTACAAGAGCATGGTTGTTCATTTTCCTCCATTTCCTACCTTTCAAAGGTCTCGTAGTCAGCCATTTTGAATAAATCAGTAATACATTTCACCATAGTTACTGTGTATACTTGAAAGTTCAACCAATACAAGCACCCTTCTAGGAAAGAAGTAACCACCTGACTGTGTTAACAATGTCTGTATCAACAGAAATGAGCAACTACATTCCCAATTAAGGTTATGCAACAGCTATCTTTAGCACGAGAAAATCCCATCTTGTATAGTCCTTTTTTTAAGCAGCCAATTTATTTACTTCTAAATAAATAAACTTTGACTTAATACCAAACTTTGCAAAAAAATTTCTTTGCATTTAAAAATTGTGCAATGAGTTACAAAAAAATGCATGAATTTGATCTTTTTTTTTTGGGGGGGGGATTCTCCCACATCAAACAGTTTGTTTCTTTTAGAGCAAAGCTACATTGGGCTATCAAACCCTGGATTTGAGTATTAAGTTCATTAAGTTACCACTATCCCACCAGGTGATTCAAACAGTTTGAACTGCCAGACCTAGTACCAAAACAAGGGGATGTTTCTGATCCCAATAACATGTGATTTAGTTCAGAATGACATTTCAAGAAAAATTCACTTCAACCACTGTAATGCAACAAAACAATGACAGTAATCTGTTAATCATGCAGATAGGTAAATGTATGGTATGTACAATAAAACCTCATTAATCCATATCCTCGTAATTGGCACAACATTGTTAATTAAAAAGCAGTCCCCATATGCACAATTCATTTATCTTGTACATATAATACTATTAATCTAAATAGTTTTATATCTTTGAATGAAAATATTGGTTTTATTTCATACTACATACACTTTTCCCCAGAATAGAAAAATGATCCTATTTGAGGATTACACTTCCCTCTACACACACACACACATCCCTACTTAATATTCCTCTGCTCACTGGCTTGTTACGATCACCTGCACAACACGTGAGGTAGGCAGTTGTTACTTCTACTTTGTAGCAGTAAATATATATACATATATTGTAGGTATGTGTAAAGATGTTTTAGTTTGTTTGTAAATTTTCAACTATGCAAATCATGGAATGGATAAATGTCAGACTAGTTAATCAGACAAAGGTTCAAATTATCATATAAAATCAAAATACATATTATAATATTCTGAAATTTGCCACCCATTATATATTTGATTAATTAGACATTCTGTTAATTTGCATTACAATTCCTTATCAATTCAGGTACAAATTAATGAGATTTCACTACAGTGCAAACTAACTGTACAAACCCAAAACACTTACATTTAAAACAAGGGCTAATATCTGGAACTGTTCTTGAGAAAGTATTTCTGCATAAGGCTGTTCATGACACAACTTCAGCATGCAGCATGCTGCTGAGAAACGCATCCATGACTTCTCTACAGGTCTACAAAGTTAAAAACAGGATTTTCCATAACAAAAATAACCAATTTAGTGAGACAAAAAACTACAACCACACACTACTAACATAAAAAAGAGAAAAAAATTCAAACTTTTGATAAGAAAAGAATAATTTGTGGTTAAAATTTAACCAAATTAAACAATTTTTGGGACTTGATAGTGTTATCCAATTGGTTCTTCCAACAACAGGCAAGTCCAAAATCAAACATTTCAGATAAAATACTTTCAGTTTAAATACACATTATGAACTCTTTTTTTTTACTTAAACAAATGTCTTTAAATCCTTTTTTTTTACTGTGATAAAAATAAATAATTTCCAACATCAACCAAAATACTTTTAATGTCACTCCAACTATTTTTTCCTCTAAACTTGTACTTACATTTATACATTTTTATTAACTTAGTATAAGAAAGCTTACTACTAGTATCGAATGTCAGACTAAAGCAGTGGAATACACGAACATTACTGTAACTATTCTTCCATAATACTGTATAAGAAAGCTTACTACTAGTATCGAATGTCAGACTAAAGCAGTGGAATACATGAACATCACTGTAACTATTCTTCCATAATACTGTATAAGAAAGCTTACTACTAGTATCGAATGTCAGACTAAAGCAGTGGAATACATGAACATCACTGTAACTATTCTTCCATAATACTGTATAAGAAAGCTTACTACTAGTATCGAATGTCAGACTAAAGCAGTGGAATACACGAACAGTATTATGGAAGAATAGTTACAGTGATGTTCGTGTATTCCACTGCTTTAGTCTGACATTCGATGCTGGTTTCTCTTTTTTTAATGGTTTAAAAAATCTATGTGTTATTATCAATGCAGAAATAATTATTTAAGAGATCCTGCTGTTGATTTAATTAGGAATCTATATGGTATAATTATGTTTTTATAAGAGGTCGTATGTAGAGATATATTCAGGTTTCAGTAGTGTTTTCTTTCTTACATTGTTGATCATTATTTGTCAAAAAACTAAATCTACCATCTTTCATGTTTTGATAAAAATATTTTTAAATTGGGATAAAGAGAAGAATATCTTATGGTTGATAACTTATGTAGAACAATAATGATAAGAAAAACTTTAACAATATCAAACAAAAACGTTTTGTATACAATTGTAAAGTTTGACAATGATGATAAGAGTTTGTGTGTATGTGAAATGTCCTTAGAATGATAGGTTTGAGTTTCTGTACATTTGTATACTGATATATTCTGTTTAACAAAAAGCTCTCATTGTTTTATAGAGAGGCTGTTTTCGGTCCTCCCGGATTATGTCCTACCTTATGCCATTCATCTCTTAGCACATGACCCTTCATTCAAAAAATATGATGACATTCCCTCGTTGATGAGACTCAAAGAGTAAGTGTAATGTGTTGGAGAACTGTTAAGTATTTTACCACAGATCATGTTTTTATCTATACCCATTTCTCTGCTTCTGTTGTTGATGGTATTTGAAGAATGTGTTTGTAAACTATTGAGTATCGTGTTCAACCTTTTTCCTGTCAGTTTTTCCATGTGCTAACATTACTTATTTTGCCTACCAGATGCTTTTTTTCTTTCATTTTGAGATTAATTATTGTTTAATTATTTAAGAGTAGTGTTTCATGGTCTGAGTTTTTATCAGAATTCTTAATTTTATGTAAAACTTGTGATTCTACAACAAAAAGTTAGACTACCGACTTGTCGACTGACATCCTTTTTTAATTTAAAGCAAAGCACATTTTAAGAATTTTATGTAATACTTATAAAAAACATTTTAGTGTAGTTTCTACTGATACACATTACAGTTATAACGAGCTAACTTGGATGGGGAAAAAAGTCACACAACTGTCAGTGTTTCACATTGGAACATATTGGTAGCTTTGATCCTTTGATAGGATGAGCATACAGATGTACTTGTATGATAGTTATGTGAAAATAAGCATGGTTGTTTAAAGGAGACAATGAGTGGTAAGTTAAAATTTAACATTAGTTATGTTTTCAGCTTTGCTGTTTTTTTTCACATTTTCTCATCAATGAGACTTAGAGAAGTGTGATGTGTGTCTGTTGAGTACTGTGTATAATATAAATTTTGTTTTTAGGTTGCATTGATTTCTCAGTGATAGTAGGAACTTTGTTTTTCTTCCAAAGTCTGCTTTAAAGTCAAGTGCAGTAAAGTAGATTTAGATGTATTGAAAAATAATATTTTATAGTAACAAAATAGGATTCATTAAGACTAATTTTAATGCAAGAATTTTTAAAACAGTATTTAACTTTGTGAGAGAAATCTGCAGCTTAGATACACTTCTTCGTGCTCTGTGATCTGAAACTAGTAAAATTATCCACAGTTAACGTATATTTCCTCATGCTGTGGGTCCTTGAAACTAGTAAAATTAACCACAGCTAATACATATTTCCTCATGCTGTGGGTCCTTGAAACTAGTAAAATTAACCACAGCTAATACATATTTCCTCATGCTGTGGGTCCTTGAAACTAGTAAAATTAACCACAGCTAATACATATTTCCTCATGCTGTGGGTCCTTGAAACTAGTAAAATTAACCACAGCTAATACATATTTCCTCATGCTGTGGGTCCTTGAAACTAGTAAAATTAACCACAGCTAATACATATTTCCTCATGCTGTGGGTCCTTGAAACTAGTAAAATTATC